CGCGCACCACCACACCCAGCTAATTTTTGTATTTTTAGTAGAGATGGGGTTTCACCATGTTGGCCAGGATGGTCTCAATCTCTTGACCTCGTGATCCGCCTGCCTCGGCCTTCCAAAGTGCTGGCATTACAGGAGCAAAAGAAATCTTAAAAGAGATATGTAAAAAGAAAACAGAAAAATTAGGAAGATGGAAGATGAAATCATTAAAAACAAAACAAAAACCCTCAGATGTATAAGACCTAAAAAGAGAAAGCTGAGCAGTGGTCAGAAAAAAATACCAGAAGAGAGAACCAGAAAAAGTATGGTCATGGAAACCAAGGAGGAATCAAATTTCAAGAAAGAAAGTAAAGCTAATGATGTTAAAAGAAACATGTGACTGATAAGATTTCCCTGTTATACTAAAAAATTCCAAGCAACACCATGGTGGGAAACAAAGGGTAATACTGATTTCCATTTTCTTTCCTACAGAATCCTTACTTTGGATATTTTGGATATCATGGCTTTGGGGGTCGCCCTCCTTATTATTCAGAAGAAATGTTTGAACAAGATTTTGAAAAACCCAAAGAAGAAGATCCTCCTAAAGCAGAAAGTCCAGGCACAGAACCCACAGCTAATTCAACAGTTACTGAGACGAATTCTACCCAATCAAATCCTAAAGGGAGTCAGGGCGGAAATGACACCAGCCCCACAGGAAACAGTATCCCAGGACCGAACACTGGGAACAACCCTCCAGCTCAAAATGGGATTGTCCCACTCCCTGCAGTCAACACTTCAGGCCAGGGAGGGCCAGGAAGTCAAATCCCATGGAGACCAAGTCAGCCAAATATTCGTGAAAATCATCCAAATCCTAATATAAGAAATTTTCCTTCGGGAAGACGGTGGTATCCCACTGGTACTGCCATGGGGCACAGACAGAATGGGCCTTTTTACAGAAATCGACAAGTTCAAAGGGGTCCTCAGTGGAACTCCTTCGCTTGGGAAGGTAAACAAGTAGTTCGTCCAGGAAATCCAGTTTATCACAAAGTTTACCTTTCTACTTCAAGAGGCAATTATCCCAATTATGCAGGAAATCCAGCAAATCTCAGAAGAAAGCCTCAGGGGCCAAATAAACACCCTATGGGAACTAATGTTGCCCCAGTTGGTCCCAAACATGGCCCTGTTGTTCACAATGAAAAAATCCAAAATCCAAGGGAGAAGCACCTGGGTCCAAAAGAACAAATAATAGTTCCTACAAAGAATCCAACCAGCCCCGGGAGAAACTCTCAACAGTATGAAGTTAATAAATCAAATTATAAACTGCCTCACTCTGAGGGTTATACACCAGTCCCAAATTTTAATTCTGTTGATCAACATGAAAACTCCTATTACCCAAGAGAAGATTCCAGAAAAGTACCAAATTCTGATGGACAAACCCAAAGCCAGATTTTGCCCAAAGGGATGGTTTTAGAGCCAAGAAGGATCCCATATGAATCAGAAACTAATCAGCCAGAATTAAAGCACAGCGCATATCAGCCTGCTGTACACCCTGAGGAAATCCCTTCTGCAAAAGAACATTTTCCTGCTGGAAGAAATACTTGGGACCACCAAGAAATCTCTCCACCTTTTAAGGAACATCCTGGGAGGCAAGAAGAACATTTACCCCATCCTTCCCATGGTTCTAGAGGAAGGGTTTTCTACCCTGAATATAACCCCTATGATCCCAGGGAAAACTCACCATACCGTAGAAGCAATATATGGGATGAGAGAGATGATTCTCCCAATACTATGGGGCAAAAAGAAAGTTCACTCTACCCCATAAATACCCCAGACCACAAGGAGACAGTCCCTTATAATGAAGAAGACCCAATTGATCCAACTGGAGATGAAGTCTTTCCTGGACAAAATAGATGGGGTGAAGAGTTGAGCTTCAAAGGGGTCCCAACAGTTAGGCACTATGAAGGTGAACAATATACCTCAAATCAGCCAAAGGAATATCCTCCCTATTCTTTAGACAATCCATCAAAACCAAGGGAGGATTTTTATTATAGTGAATTCTACCCATGGAACCCGGATGAGAATTTTCCATCATATAATACAGCTCCTACTATGTCACCACCTACAGAGAGCAGGGGTTACTATGTTAATAATGCCGTTAGACCAGAAGAAAGCAATCTATTTCCTTCATGGAATTCCTGGGACCACAGGATACAAGCCCAAGGTCAGAAAGAAAGAAGGCCATATTTTAACAGAAATATCTGGGATCAGGCAACACATTTACAAAAAGCCCCAGCTAGGCCACCAGACCAGAAAGGTAACCAGCCCTATTCCAGTAACACCCCAGTTGGGCTTCAGAAAAATCCAATGTGGCATGAAGGTGAGGATTTGAACTATGGCATGCAAATGACTAGGATGAATTCTCCAGAGAGAGAACATTCATCTTTCCCTGACTTCATCCCACAAAGTTATCCATCAGGTCAAAAAGAGGCACATTTATTTCACCTAAGCCAGAGAGGCTCTTGCTGTACTGGTAGCTCCACAGGGCCCAAGGACAATCCACTAGCTCTACAAGACTACACTCCATCCTATGGTCTTGCACCTGGGGAGAACCAAGACACCAGTCCTCTGTATACAGAAGGTAGTCATAGCAAGCACACAAGACATATCATCTCCCCAACAAGCACCCTACCAGGCCAAAGAAACAGCTCAGAGAAGATGGAAAATGAAAACCCTTTTAGAGATGATGTGTCCACTCTGAGGAGGAACACACCATGTTCTATAAATAATCAACTGGGCCAAAAGGGAATTATGCCATTTCCTGAAGTCGATTCCCTTCAAGCAAAGAATACACCTTGTCTCAAAAATGATCTTGGAGGAGATGGGAACAACATTCTGGAACAAATTTTTGAAGACAACCAGCTCAATGAAAGAACTGTTGACCTTACTCCTGAGCAGCTTGTTATTGGTACACCTGATGAAGGCTCCAATCCAGAAGGCATCCAAAGTCAAGTCCAAGAAAATGAGAGTGAGAGACAGCAACAAAGACCATCTAACATCCTGCATTTGCCATGCTTTGGCTCCAAATTAGCAAAGCATCACTCTTCCAGCACTGGAACTCCATCTAGCAATGGAAGGCAAAGCCCATTTGATGGGGATTCAATTATGCCTACTGAAAATCCTAACACATTGGTTGAGTTAGCTACTGGGGAACAATTTAAGAGTACAAATGCAGACCCACTTGATGCAGGCGAACACAGTCCATTTGAATTCCTTCAAAGAGGGACCAATGCAGAGGACCAGGTACAAGACTGCTTACTACTTCAGGCCTAAGGGTTATCTCAACCAAGCATTCTTGGGGGGAAGAGAAATCACTGACATTCTATACCAATGGTTCCCAAAATTTTTTCCCCAAGACTTAATTAAGTATCTGACTGTCTTGGTGATCCTTAAGTTTTCTCCCCTCTCAGCAATAGCAGTAGCAATCCAGGTGGAGCTAGGAGTAGCAACCCAGGTGGAGCTGAGATTGGGCCTCTGGGGATCACCAGATCTAGCACTTTCACAAATTAGTGCAGACCTTAAAAAAGCAAGAAGGTCATGACCATCCCTGCCTTGAAACTTGGAAGTTACTTGTCTGAGTTAGTTTCCTTTTGCCTGATGACTTCTCCTTTTGCTCTCAAAGTTCCATTCTTGCAAAATTGGTTTTTCAAGACTGAAAGGCAGATTAACTTTCCATTCTACACGTGGAGATCCACAAATCAGTATAGTCCTAATGCACTGTACATTTCTTTCTTGTGTTGATCTTGTCAGGTTTTTTCCTACTCAATATTCTCTTCAAGCATTTTTTTCTTCCACTGCCACTCTCTTTACCTTTATCATTTCCTTTTCTTAGCTTTCTTCCTTCTTTTCTCTCTCCCTCAAACTTTCTGTATTTAGCTTGCTATTCCTCATCTTTTTCTATGTATCACTTCTTACATATTAAGCTCGCTATTTTAACCGTTACTAGTCTTTTCTTTATGTCTACCTCCTCCATTATGTCTTCCTCTCTTCCCACCTACCTGTTTTGTCTCCCAATGTACCATTTGTCAACTAATCCCTCTCCTCTCTGACTCCTTTCTTCCCTTCAGTTTATCTTTTTCCCTGCTACACCGTTTTCATCTTGACTGCATGTCACTCTCTTCCTTTTTGTATCCACTCTCTAAATCGTACCCTAATTTTTTATTGACCCAGCTTAACCATCATTATAGAATTTATTTTGGAAATGGTAGACACTGATAGCTACTTTTTTTTAGTTATCTTAGGGTCTCTACCAAGTAGACACAGTTCAGTTAGAGAGATGTATTTAAGGAGAAGGGAAGATAGGATACCCAGGACTAGCAGCCTAGGGAAAAGGCTTAGGAAGGTGGAGAATGAGGAACTGAAGAAACTGCCGCTCTGACACTGCACATCCAGGAAAAAGGACTAGGACTTGCCATACACCACCAAGTTATAATCCGCAGGATCTGTAGAAGACATTTTGGGAAACACTCTCTTAAATAAAAACTCAATGTTTAGTTGTGGTTTTTTTTGTTTTGTTTTGTTTTGTTTTACTAGTTCAACATAAGTGATTCTACCAGTATGTGCTACTACCAAACATTCTTCAAGTCCATGCAGAATTATTTACAGACACTCTTTCTTGGTATCTTGAATAAATTGTGTAAATTATTTTGAAAACTGGATATTTCTATATACCTTGCTTATAATACATCAGTGATTATTATTCTTATTAATAACATGTTGGCCTATTATCTGGATATCCCTTGCCTAGAGCAGGAAACATTCTCAGAATTGCCTAAAAGCATACCTTATAACTTTAAGAGATTTCTTGGGATAAATATTCAGGGGCAGACTTCATAAGAAGATCTCAAACATTTGGGGAAATACAATGTTGAAAACTTCCTGAGAAAAGGAATCTTGCCCTTGAAGCTTCTAAAGCACCTAGCACAGTGTCTTGAACATAGAAGGTACCCAATAAATATATATCAATTGATTTTTTAATGACTTTCAAAAGTCCCATGAAAACACCATAGTCTGCTTTTCCTGAAAGGCGACCATCTGGGATGCTGAATGAGCCACCACTCTGTAGCTTTATATATTCAGCAACATTTCCATCATAGAATTTCAGTGTAAGAAGGGACCTTAGAGGTAGATTATCCAGGCCATCCCCTAGTGCTTACAATCCCCTCCCCCTGGCCAGTTTTATATTTTAACCACATATTGAAAAATTCATTAACTTCTTTTGTATAAAACTGTCTTTTAAGAATTATCCTTTCAAAATAAAAATGTTATTGTTTCACTAGTTTATTTTTCCAAATGATTTTTTTGAAATCTCAATATGAGTACTTTCATTACAAGATACTCACTTCATATTTCACCAAAATGTATAGGTTCACATAATTGTTTTGGCAGATATGTTGACATATCTGAATTTATGAGACGCTGCTGCTTAAACTGCCATCTGAGATCGCTGCAATGTAAAATGTAAAAAGTATAGTATGACCCTTCCAAGCTGTCTTGAGCATAGGTAAATCTTTTTTCTAAAAAAGTATAGTGTGACCAAAAGAAAACATATTTTGAATTTGAAAACACACCGTAAAAATAAGGGAAAATGTCTCTCCAGAAAATAACTGTTTTCTTTTTTTTTCTTTTTCTTTTTTTTTTTTTT